GGGCGCGAGGCGGAGCGGGGCGCGGACTCTCCCGTGAGTAGGGGGCGCAGCTCGGGTTCCCTTTGCAGTGGGGGGTCTCTCTGCTAACCCCTTCCCTTCTTCTCGAGCGGCCACCCACCACAGCCTGCCTGCAAAAGAACCAGGAGTCCTGGCCCCCCCCGCTGCTCGGTTCCCTTTGCAGTGGGGGGGCTCTCTGCTAACCCCTTCCCTTCTTCTCGAGCGGCCACCCACCACAGCCTGCCTGCAAAAGAACCAGGAGTCCTGGCCCCCAGCCCGCTGCTCTAACCTGCTCCACCCCATTCGCCTCCAGGGCCAGGGACAGACCCCGAGAGCCCCCACCCCACTTCCCTCCCAGTGCTGGGGCTAAAACCCAGGAGGCCTGGCTCCTCTACCATCTCCCTGCTGTATCTGGAGACCAGGCCCCTTTCCTGCAGCACAACCCAGGAGTCCTGGTTTGCCTTTGTCCCAGTCCTCAGAGGATCCTGCCACAGACACAGATGCTTCTAACACTAGCCAGTAAAACACAGAAGACGGCTTAACGGGCTGCGTTACCGGTGAACTTAACCTGCTACATTGACGCTGGCTAACTTAACCCGCTGCATTAACGTTGGCTCACGTAACCGGTGAACTTAACCAGCTACATTAACGCTGGCTTATTTAACCGACTGCGTTATCTCTGGCTTACTTAACCTATGAACTTAACCAGCTACATTAACACTGGCTTATTTAACCGACTGCGTTAACGCTGGCTTACTTAACCTGTGAACTTAACTTGCTACATTAACGCTGGCTTATTTAACCGACTGCGTAAACGCTGGCTTACGTAACCTGTGAACTTAACCGGCTGCATTAACGCTGGCTTACTTAACCGGCTGCATTAACGCTGGCTTACTTAACCGGCTGCATTAACGCTGGCTTACTTAACCTATGAACTTAACCGGCTGCGTTAACGCTGGCTTACTTAACCTATGAACTTAACCGGCTGCGTTAACGCTGGCTTACTTAACCTATGAACTTAACCGGCTGTGTTAACGCTGGCTTACGTAACCGGTGAACTTAACCGGCTGCGTTAATGCTGACTTACGTAACCTGTGAACTTAACCGGCTGCATTAACGCTGGCTTACTTAACCTATGAACTTAACCGGCTGCGTTAACGCTGGCTTACTTAACCTATGAACTTAACCGGCTGCGTTAACGCTGGCTTACTTAACCTATGAACTTAACCGGCTGCGTTAACGCTGGCTTACTTAACCTATGAACTTAACCGGCTGCGTTAACGCTGGCTTACTTAACCTATGAACTTAACCGGCTGCGTTAACGCTGGCTTACTTAACCTATGAACTTAACCGGCTGCGTTAACGCTGGCTTACTTAACCTATGAACTTAACCGGCTGCGTTAACGCTGGCTTACTTAACCTATGAACTTAACCGGCTGCGTTAACGCTGGCTTACTTAACCTATGAACTTAACCAGCTGCGTTAATGCTGGCTTACTTAACCTGTGAACTTAACCAGCTGCGTTAACGCTGGCTTACTTAACCTATGAACTTAACTGTCTGATCTTTGTGTGTTTTTTCTGTTATTCAGGACTCTGATTCTGACTCGGAAAACGGTGGTGCTTCTGGAGAGTCTGAAAGTAGGTAACTTGTGCTGTATTGTAGGGGAAGGGATGGGGAGCATGGGGCGGCCGAGTAGCATGATACACAGGGGAGAGCCTGGGAGAGCCTGCTGGGTCTGTCAATCTATCCCTGTTCCTTCCTCTCAGGGGGGCCTAATGCCTCAGGTGATTAACGTGAATAGGGGTAAATCATCTGTCGTTAAACCAGCTCTTTCTGTCCGGGCTTCGAGGCAAAAATTGGTCTGTGGCTGGAATTGGGATTGAATAATCTTTCTCAATTATCTTCAGGCCCCTGTCGCTGTAGTTTCTGAAAGCCTCTGTTTCTGACATATTTGTTCCCATAACTCCCTGGGAGGCAGGGCAGTGCCACAGAAGGGGAAACTGAGGCCAGTCCGGTGACACCACCTTTGCAAAAGACGTTATTTAAACAGACAGGCACGCTTTTCTGCTGTCTGCACTGCGGGTTCTGCTAAGCACGGCTGTGTCAACTAGCGGGTGTGAACACCCCCAGCCAACTGAAGCGTGTAACATACGCCAGGCCCCAGCGACTCCTCGCACGAGTAGTCAGTTGCAGACCTGTGCCTTGAACCTAAACAATGGGCCCTTCCGTCCGTGCCGGGTTCTCCTGTCGTTCCCAGTGCACTCACACACCCTCTTTTCCCTTTTAAGTCTTCAAGGCACTTTCTAAATATTAACTAACCTTCAAAACGACCTCCTTCTGTGACATTGGGAAATGGAGTCCTGAGGGGGAAACTGAGGCTCGAGGACGAGAACTGCCGTGCCCAAGGCTGCTCAGCAAATCCGTGGAGCTAGGATTAGAAACCAGGCCTCCTGGCTCTCAGTCCCCTTGCTCTAACTATTAGACCCTACTCCCTTCCCAGAGCTGGGACCAGAGCCCAGGAATACACAGCTAACTTTGCTTGTCCTCTCCCTTTCAGTGGATTTCCTGCGAAATCTCCTGTCCCGGACGCTGGGCCTGGGCAGTGAGAAACCGGAGAAGGTGCTGGATGAGCTGACACTAGATGGTGTGAGCCGCTTCATGCTGAGCGAGAAGTGTAAGCTGGGTCCCCTCTTGGGAGGCAGCTGCTCTGAGACTGAACCAGAGCGACTCTCATCCTGATTTCCCCCCTCACAGTGGGAAGGGAAAGGGGTTGAGGGAGAGGCTGTGGGCTAGCGGGGCTGTCTAGGGGCAGGCCTGGAGCAGACCAAGGGATGTGGCAGGGACTCCATGTTGGTGTAACTTACAAGCAGGGGCACAGGTGTCACTTACACATTCGTACACCCCACCCCTTCTGAGCTGCTGGGAGGGATCCAGTCTCCATGGGCTCCCTCTTGGTGCTGGGGGCAGGTTTGACAGGGGCTTGGGGGTGGCTTTAAACCTCCCTTGTGCTACTTGTATTATGGGCCCTGGTATAAGTTAGAGCGGGGCTACTCAATACGTGGCCTACGGGCGGCGGGCAGCCCATAGCCCATTTGTTTGCAGCCCGCCCCCGAGTGGGATCCTTTGAACATGGCCTCCACTGGGAACACGCTCCACAACGGCGAGTCCATAGAACGCTCGTCTGCTGAGCTGCGTTTTAGTAGTTCAATTCCTGGACTGTCGTTGCTTAGTACAAGTGCTGTCATATGGGTGGAGATCGGGTAAACGTTGCCTTTTATTAATAGCAGCAGAGCTGACTTAGATGGGGGGGGTGTTGTGTAGTCTTGCCTTAAGCTTTGTATTCATGCCCCTCAGTGCGAAAGAAGCTATTTGCATGTATATTTGCACGTCTATGCAGCCACTCTTAAGCTGCAGCCCTCCGCATGTGCTGAGTATCATTTTGGCTCCTGGGGCTTCCAAAGTTGAGTGGCCCAGAGTCCGAGCAACCTCAAGGCTGTTCTGGGGAGTATCTGCTTCCCAAGGTGCTTGTGAAGCAGAGAATTGCCATACGTCCGGTCCCCGAGTTACGACCAAAGCTGTCGTAAATGGCGGACCCCGCGCTTACAAACGGGACCCAAGTTACGACCAAAGCTGTTGTAAATGGTGGACCCCGCGCTTACGAACGGGACCCCGCGCTTACGAACGGGATCCACGTTAGGAACAGCGTGGTCGTGTGTAACTCTGTGGGGTCCGAATTACAAACAAACCAAGTTATGACTGATTGTTTGGTCCGTCACCGGTTCGTAAGTTGGGGAGAGGCTGTACTGCAGCGCCTGCTGCGGGCTGGGAGTGGGGCCTCGATGCCAGCTTGAGAGGCCCCCTGCTCCGCTCAGGGATATGCTGAGTCCAGAGGGGCCTGCGTGACACTGCAGGTCAGGTTCTAGCCCAGCAGGGGTCAGGAGTGCAGGGACACGTGGCTTTGCTCTTAGAGGGATAAGCTCTGGGCCGTGGGCTGCGGTGGTGTCTGCCAAGAGCCTGCGCCGAGAGCGTGGGGCTGGTTCCCACGTGGCTTTCAGCACTCTGATCCGATGCCTCCCTCTCTGATCTTGCAGGCAGGAACATCGTCTGCATGGTGGGCGCTGGGATTTCAACCTGTGAGTACAGCTGCAGGCGTGGCGGAGCTAGGCCGTCCACGCTACAGAGAGACCAACCTAGAGCAGTTCCCGGAGGGGCTCTGATAGTGTGTCTATCGCCCCTTCCATCCCAGAGCTGTTTGCGAGCCACGGCTGACCTGCAGCCACCTCTGGGGTGGAAGGTGGCAGCTGTTTGTACAGGCACCACTCACTCCTACACTCGTGAGTCTGGCAGATGCTTGTGTGTGCTGGGGCGGGGGAGAGTCCTTCGTCCAGTCCTGAGACACAGCCGGCTTCAGTATATGCAGGGATCGAGGCTATACTGAGGGGCCTCTGCGTCTGGGGTGGGGCGTGACGGCAGGGAAGAGGAGTCCTGTATTGCATTGGCTGCAGGAGGATGGTAGGGAGCCAGGGAGGAATAATGGTGGCTGTAATTTGACCAGAACACTTGGCCCTGGTGGGCGGAAGGGAGAGGACGGTGCCATGGGACCACGAACCCTAATTTCAGTGTTGTTTGAAAGACAGTGCCGCTGGTATCCCAGTGCCGAGCAGTCACTGGGGTTCTACTGCAGGCCCGGGGGTGCGCCTGTTCCTGGTGCGAAGACCCCGCACCCAGGCACATGGGGAAGAGCTTTCTGAAGTGTCTGCGGCCGGTGGGCACCCACCCAGTGCTGATCAGGCGCCTAGCAGACCTGTCCGAACCTGAAGAAGTGGGTGGTGCCCCCGAAAGCTCCTGCTGCCATCTGCATGTTTCCCTAGCCTGGAAGGTGCTGCAGGACTAGTCCTTGTTTCAGCTTTTCCGGGTACAGCCACCCCTCTGAAGCTGTCCTAACCTGGACTGGGCTCACTGTAAATCCTGGGACGGATTCTGTGGGGAGCTGGGGGACTTTGGGCTGATCCAAAGTCCTGGTCAGGAATCTTGAAGGGGATGTCCTTAGCGCATAATAGCTCTGTCTCCTGCTGATTGCAACATCCTTGTGGCACCCCAGAATGGGAGTGACCCTAGAAAACTGCTCCCCTGCTAGGCTGAGGGACAAAGAGGTGACCAGCCCCTTGCTAGAGGCCCCCCCACGCCTCACCGACGCATCCTCGTGAGTTTCCTAACGAGCTTGCCGTGTGTCCCTCAGCCGCGGGGATCCCAGACTTCCGTTCGCCCGGCACCGGGCTCTACGCCAACCTGCAGAGCTACAACCTGCCATACCCGGAAGCCATCTTCGAAATCAGCTACTTCAAGGTAGCACCTGGGGTTCCTCCTGCCATAGTTATCGGTCGCTACCAAAATGTCCCCCCTCCCCCACACGTCCTAAAGAATCCCTAAAGCGGGTGCTGAGTTCAAATACTGGAGCACAGGGAAAATGGGGGTGGCCAAAAAACTCCCCCTCCTTGCCTGAGGGCCTCATCCTGAGAAGCATCTGCCAGCCCCCCAAACTGCAGGGGCTGCTCTGAGAGGAATAGTTTTGGGGGGACCCAGGATCCGTAAGGCAAACCTAACCCCTCCCCTAACGTTGGTCTATTTCCCTTCGCACAGCAACACCCGGAGCCGTTCTTTGCCCTCGCCAGGGAGCTGTACCCAGGGCAGTTCAAGGTGAATCCGGTCGGCTGTTGCTCCGGGAGCCAGGGCTCCGGGGTTTATTCCTGGCAGCTAGCGCGGGGGTGTGGGAGCCAGGACAGCGTTGTGTCTGGAAGCAGAAGGGTCAGTACCCTGGCTCCGACGCAAAGGCCCCACTATCTTGGTATCCACACGCCCCCAGACACTTGCATCCTGTTGCAGATCAGACCGGTGGGTAGCTGGCCTGGGGGCTGCTCCCCTCTCCCCGCAAACACAAGCACACGCCTCGTTCAGGTCACAGCGCTCTCCCTCTGGAGCACGGAGCCTCGTCTGGCAGCCCCCCATGCTGGGTCAGACCTGGAGTCCTCTCCCCCTTTCCCCGCTGGGTCACGCCAACAGGCCCAGCTGCCCCCGCGCACCTCTCTGGGCAGCCCTAAGCCTCCCCCACCCCCACTCAACCTGGGGACCAGCTGGTGTAAACACAAGGCAGGGCCGGTGGCTGTTGGCCTGCCCGGGATCCTCAGCGTTGTGCCCTGCTCCGTTCTAGCCCACCGTGTGCCACTACTTCATCCGGCTGCTGAAGGAGAAGGGCTTGCTGCTGCGCTGTTACACACAGGTGGGAGACCCGGGGGGCTACTGCATGTAACAAGCTGGGACTCTCAGCCCCTGGGTGGGGGCACCACCCCTGCTCATTCCAGCAACAGACCCCTCCCATCCCTTCCCCTGCTCCTGGAGCCTTCCTGCCCCTCTCCAGCTGAGCTACTTACTGACTTCCTGCTCTCCAGCTAATGGGTCCCGCCCCCTTTCAAGGGCCAGGCATGCTGTGATTTGGGGGGGCGGGCATTCGGGAGCCTCAGCTCAGCCTGGGGGCAGTGAAATTGGCTGGCTGGCTTCACTTCCCGGGCATGGGTCCCAGCGTGCCAACGGGCAGGCGGGATGGGGGCGTCTGCCTTTCAGAACATTGACACGCTGGAGCGGGTGGCCGGATTGGACCAGGACGATTTGGTGGAGGCTCACGGCACCTTCTTCACCTCTCACTGCCTCAGCCCCTCCTGCAAGAAGCAGTACAGCCTGGACTGGATGAAAGGTGCCTCCGCCCCCCGCTCTCCTTAGTGACCTCCATCAGCGACCGGCCCACCTAGAGGGGCGTGAAATCCGTCAGGCCGCTAATCCCCGTCTGTTCTGGGAGCTGCCACCCCCCGGCAGGGGAAGAGGCGTGGGCTCCCCCAGCCCCAGGGGAGAGGCTCGTCCGGAGGTACGAGCTCCTGGGGGCAGCCAACCCCAGACTCTGCGGGGCTGAGGCGTGGGCTCCCCCAGACCCAGGGGAGAGGCTCGTCTGGAGGTACGAGCTCCTGGGGGCAGCCAACCCCAGACTCTGCGGGGCTGACGATGCCTGCAGGCCTGGAGGAGGGGACGCGGGGGTGTTTGAGGTTAGTGATCTCTGGGGCTGCTTAGCAGACTCGAGGGTCAGGCTGTCGTTTGCTTTCCCTTGGGTCTCTGCCGGAAGTCGAGGCCTGAGCCAGCCCAGAGGCCCGTTCAGTTCGTCTTCTGTCTCTGAGGGCGGCCCGGTGCTGCAGAGGAAGCTGTGATCTGCCCTCAGGCTGGGTGGTTCCCTGCCCCGTGAAGCCTTAGGAATCTGCTGGGCGCTTTCAGATCTCTCCCCGAGCTTGTGGGCCCCTCTCCAGCGCATGTGGGTCCCGCCCGAGCGGTCTGCTCCCGCCCCTTCCAGGCCGAGCTGAAAATCCCGCCTCTGACTCCCATGTTCCTTCTTTCAGAAAAGATTTTCTCGTCTCTGACGCCCAAGTGCGACAAATGTCAGAGTCTGGTGAAGCCGGGTGAGCATCTGGCCGCTGGCGATTCCTGGTGGGGTGAGACTCACCTGGTCTGCACTCAGCATTTACATCGGTATAGACACGTCTCTTGGGCACGAAAAGCCCACGCTCCTGCAGAATCCACCCGCCCTCCCCTCAGCGCCTGGTTGTCAGGAGAGTTCTCCTGTCGGATTGCTGTGCAGGGGAGAACCCCTCCCATTGGTGCAGGTCATGCCTACACGGAAGCTGCTGTAACGTTTTAAGTGTCAGCCCGCGGTGTCCAACCGGTTCTGAAGCCGTAGCCACTAGAGTGTTCCTGCTGTAGCGAACTAGCCACGCTCAACCAGGCAAATCGCCATGTGTAGCTAGGGGCTAGTGTGTTGGACACCACGGGTGTAGATGTACACTAAGAACAGGAGTCTGGATCTCTCTGTGTCCCGCTGGCTGTGTCTAGACTGCAGACTTCTTTTGGAAGAGAGCATCTACACAGCAAAAGCACAACAAAAAGGCGATGTGCTTTTTCCAAAGATAGTGTCCACAATCATTGGATGCTATCTCGCATTTAAGTGCTGATTGCTGTGGACGGAGTGGCCACCAGGGCACCTGTGCTTTTTCCTGGAGGCCTCCTCTTTCAAACGAAAACCCTCTTCCCCATCCATACGAGCTCTTTTGGCTTCCTCGTAGAATGAGGTTTACCCTGCGCTCTTTGACTGTCTGCCAAAAGAACACCATTTCACTGTTGACATAAGTGTCTTGTTTCCGGAAAAACTCTGCAGTGTAGACATAGCCTCTGCGTGTACGTCTCTGCTCCAGCAGCGCGTTCTGAAGGAGCAGCTTAGAAGGTACTGGCGCTAGCAGAGCTCGTCTTTTCTCCCTTCGGCTCCGGGGAGCTCTGCGCAAATGCAAATGAAGTCTGGCAGCTCCCCTGCAAAGCCACAAGGAGTGTGCTCGCTGTGTCCCTGAAAATGCAGCTGTCTCTAGAGCAGAGCACTGCAGGTGTGCAGCTGTGGCTTAGGACAGGCAGGGAAGACGCCCGTGTCCAGTTGAAATGATGGAGGTGTGGGGGAAGGACAGGAGGTTGATGTGAGCGAGATTCACCCAAGTATTGTACGTGTCTGGGGCTTTTCATTCCAAAAGCGATTTACAGACACAGCACAGAGCATGGCTGAAATGCAGCCACCTTGGGAGCGAGGGCAGCAGCTGTTGCAAACTGACCACCGCACGGTGCAGGGAAGGGCTCTGGGCCAATCGCCTGCTTCGGGGATACGTTCCCAATGGACAGCGTTTCGTTATTTGTCTTGGGGTCACTGGGGGGGGCTCCTTTGGGCAAGGTGCCAGACGTTTCTGGTGCTGTTCGATGTATTGCGGGAGCACCTTACGGCCCTAGGCTGTGTCCTTGCCCCAAGAGCCGTGTTCACACTGAGCAGGCGGGCTGAGTGTGCTGGCGTCTCTTCTCCCTAGATATCGTCTTCTTCGGGGAGAGCCTGCCCCCCCGCTTCTTCGCACTCATGCAGTCGGTAAGTGCCCCGGCTGGACGCGCCCCTGCTTGCCTCCCGGCCTCGGGTGCACGATGGGGATGGGCAGGCTGCCCTGAAGCAGTGAGGGGACTCTCCCATGCATGCGAGAGGCCGTGTTAAATGGGCCTCTGGCTCGGAGTTCGGACAGCAGCGGGGCAGGGACCCTGGGTTGGGCTGTTGAGCCGAGTGGGGGCTGGGATGGGGAAGGAGTTGCAATGGCCCCTTGGTTTGATTTGGGAGGAGGTTCTGTAGGGCCAGGTGGGCCCATTGGCCTGATCAGGATATATAGGGCTGGGAATATGGGACTGGATGGAATTGCCCAGGGGGTGGAATATATGGGGGTGGGTGGGTCCATTGGTCTGATGGGGGGGAAATGCAAGGCTGGATGGGAACATGGGTCCATAGCTGGGCTGGTCCATTGGTCTGACGGGGGACGGGTGGGTCCACTGGTTTGATGAGGGGCATACAGGGACGGGTGGGCCCATGGGTCTGATTGCAGGGGTTGGATTTCCAGTCCCGTGGTGGCAGCCGGCAGCATAGGGTGAATGCTGCGTACAGATGTGGTCTTATCTCGGAAGAGATCTACTGCCATTAGAAAAGGTTCAGAGAAGGGCAACTGAAATGCTGAGGGGGTTGGAACAGGTCCCACATGAGGAGAGGCTAAAGAGACTGGGACTTTTCAGCTTAGAAAAGAGGAGACTGAGGGGGGATATGAGAGAGGTCTATAAAATCATGAGTGGTGTGGAGAAAGTGAACAAGGAAAAGTTATTTACTTGTTCCCATAACATGAAACTAAGGGGCAGCAGGTTTAAAACAAATAAAAGGACGTTCTTCATACAGCGCAGAGTCAATCTGTGGAACTCCTTGCCGGAGGAGGCTGTGAAGGCTAGGACTATGACAGGGTTTAAAAGAGAACTAGATGAATCCATGGAGGTTACGTCCGTGAATGGCTATTGTTAGCCAGGCTGGGTAAGGAATGGCGTCCCTAGCTCTGTTTGCCAGAGGGTGGAGATGGATGGCAGGAGAGAGATCGCTTATGTTAACCGCCTGCCCCCCCTCGCTCTCCACAGGATTTCCAGAAGGTGGATTTGCTTATCATCCTGGGCACGTCGCTGCAGGTGCAGCCCTTCGCCTCCCTCGTCAGCAGGTGGGTGGGCTTTCAGGGCGGCCTGCGAGGCTGTGGGTCGCCCCCCTTCTGTAACCCCTCTCTCCTTGTCTGATGCAGGGTGCCCACAAACACCCCCAGGCTCCTGATTAACAAGGAGAAGACAGGGCAGGTAAGCCCGCGCCTGGGAGCCGTGGGTGTGGGTTGCTTGTGTGGGTACCGACTGCCAGGCTCCCATGCCAGCCAGGACAGCGCCACCCTGCCCACCTTCCGCGTGGCTGCCTCCTGCAAGGGGAAGGGGGTGAAACCTGCACTGGGAGGGAGGGAGGGAGGGGGTTGTGATTTGCCCCTGCCCAGTGATCTCCCAAAATCTTGGGCATCTGCCTGTGGAGCCCCGGGAGAGGAGTGGGCAGGGAACAGGATGCAAGGGTTATATAATCCACCAGGGGCCACCGAGAAACGCCCCCCCTGTCCTCACCGTGGTCTTTCTGGTCTGCAGAGCGATCCCTTCATGTCGCTGATGGGTCTCGGCAGCGGCATGGACTTCGACTCAGAAAAGGCCTACAGGCAAGTTGCCAGGGGGCCAGGGCGAGTCATACAGCCCACAGGAGAGTGGGGGCTAGTGGTCAGAGCAGGGGGCTGGGAATCGGGACTCCATCTCAGGGCCATGTGTGCGGAGGGGGAGGGGTGCTGTTTAGCGGTTAGAACTGGGCATGGCTGAAACTGTATTACTTACCTTCCTGCCCTGGCTTTGATGCTGAATAAGTCATCGGAGCGCTCCGTGCCTCAGTTTCCCCTCTAGCAAAGAGGATGAGCGATCCTTTGCAGAGGGTAGATCCGTGAATGCCAGCTGTACCCTTTAGCATCCGCCAGCTCAGGATGTGAGGGACAGGCAGTGGGTGGTCGGGAGGCCTGGGGGAAGACTGTCCCCTGTCCCAAAGCTATTTAACACCGGCTTGTTGGCTTCTTCCCCTGCGGGTCCTCCTTCCTCGCCCAGGGACGTGGCCTGGCTGGGGGACTGTGCTGGAGGCTGCACAGCACTGGCAGAGCTGCTGGGATGGAAGGTAGTGACTCCTCTCCTGCGCGACCCTGCCGCCCTGAGTCCATCCCAAGTCCCGGGTGCCCCAGCCAAAGTGGAGCTCTGGGGGCCCCACACAGCCGCCTGCGCTGTCTGTCCTGGCCCTTGTCCTGGGTCTGTGGAGAGGTGCCACGGTGCGCCCCAGAGGATGCTGCCCCGGGGAGGCTGCATCTCCTAGTGGGAGTTTAGGTTCTGATACGAACAGCCAGCGCGCCCCACCCCGGAACTGGCTCCATCCCCACGTTGGGAGAGATCCCTGAGTCACGGCTGTCAGGTCGCGCCCAGGCTCAGCCCTTCCGTCCCAGGCAGGACCCCTCTCCAACACGGCAGCTCCTTCTCGGGGAGCCCGCTCCGGTCCAGCGACCCTCTCTTGGGGGGCCCCTCTCACCTGGGGGGTCCGCCCCTCTGCCTCCGGGACGGCGCCTCTCAGGGCCTCCAGCCTGTCTCCGCCGTGAGCCCCTCGGGGGGTCCCCTCCCAGGGGGAATAGCACCCCCCTGCTCCCCAGCCCAGAGCGACTCCCAGACAGCCCCAAACAGGAGGGTTATGGAGCTTTGAACAGCAACGGATCCCTCAGGCCAGTCGCCTGGACCCCTCAGTCCACACGTCAGCCTCCCCTGCGGCCAGCTGAGTCCTGCCTGCCCTGCCCTCAGTCCTGAACAGCCCCCGGCTCCCAGCAGAGCCCCCACTTCCCCAGCAACAGCCCCTCCCCCGCCAGTGTCTCTCCCCAGGTAACAGGGTCACCTGGCCCCTCTTCTCCCCTCCCCTTCCCCATCCAGCTGGGTCCCCCTCTGCAGCCCGTTGTCTATTGTCTGGCCGGAGCTGGCCCTGTCCTCTGAGCAGGGCCGGGGGCACCAGGGCACCAGATGCCGGCTCCAGTTCTGGGCTGTTCTCTGCAACAACAAACTCCCCCCTTGTCACATTAACCAGTAACTTCTGGGCACTGAGCCCCCCGCATGTAACCCCCTTTGAACCCCAAACTCCCCAGTTCCTCACACCCTGCCCAAAGCCCTGCCCCAGAGGTGGCTGCATGTCAGGGCTGGGTGAAGGCTCCCTGTGCAGCGGGCTGCCCTGCCCCAGAGGTGGCTGCGCCTTGGGGCTGGCTATAGGCAGTGGGGCAAAGATGCTGGAGGATGAAAGTGCCCGTCCCCAAGGTAGTAGGGTGCAAACGGTGCCACTGGAGATCTTTGCTTTAGCCCCTTTCTTATCCACGGAGGCGGCTTTCCCCCTCCAGGGCAGCTCGCCGGCTTCTCCCTGCTCTGCCCCGGCTCTCCGGCCTCACTGCCCTCTGTCCTTGTGCAGAAGGAGCTGGAGGAGCTGGTGAGAAAGGAGCATGCTGCCATTGATGCTGGATCAGGGCAGGCCAGCGAGGCTGGGGCGAGCCCCTCCCCTCCCCCAGTGAAGCCGGCGGGGCCCTTGCCCGAGAAGGAGGGCGGCGCTGGAAGCAAAGCAGAATGATGGAGCTGGGTGCGGCTGGGGCGGATTTCGATTTGCCGCTGCCTGGACGCGGGCGAGAGCCATCTCTGATGAAACGGGGCTGGGGGCTCAGCCCCCCCCAAGGCTGCAGCTCAGGGAGGAAGGCAAGAGGCGGGGAGGGGCTGGGATTTGGGGGCCTGGCTGCGCCCTCGCCTGCCCCGTGAGCTGTGGGTTCTTGGGATGCTTTGCACTAGCCCTGTGGTTCGTTATTTCCCCACAAGGAAGTGCCGGAAGGGAGAATCGCGTTTCCTCCCTGGTGCGTTCCCCCTGCCGGGTTCAGTTTCACCCGAGTCCCGTTGGGGCCCCCCAGCCAGCGTCCCTCGATGGGCCGCCAGCGGGGTCCCGCCTGGGTTGTTGGTGCGGTGTGTGAAGTGTCTCTTGGCTATTAAACTGTAGCGTCTTGGAAGCAGGTTTGTGTTGGCCTGTGGGTCTCTCTCCCCCTGGAACGAAGGCCCCTTCATTACGGGGAATCTAATTTTGTCCCAAGGAGTAAATGGCCCTGGTGCTGCAGAGAGATTCTGTCTAAACCCAAAGCCCCCTGCCTGGCTTCAGAGAAGCCCTGTATGACCAGCTGCCCCACCCCAGAAGTGGCTGCATTTCAGGGATCCCTGTATGGAGCTACTGCTGCACCTGAGGGGTGATCCCAACTCGGTGCGCCCCAGAGGGGAAGGTGAGGGTCCCGGGGCCAGGCAATGGCAGTGACGAGACCCCATCCCTGTGGTGGCCCCTCCCCCGGCCGCTCCCCCGCCCCG